CTAAAGAATTTAAAGGTAAGAGGGGCAACCATTGCCATAATGATTGAGCAGTGCTCTATCTGGTTTATATCTATATTACTGGACCACGCAGGGGAAGCCTCCGCCAGAAAACTACTACTTATATATACAATAAAGCTTACTCTAGATACTTATGATATACTTATGAATGCTAAGGCAGTTATTTCACTATTTTCATCCTTTGGTATTTCGATAAATTCCTAACCGCAATAAGATCCTTATATCAATTTGATGTCTTGTTGAGTAGATTAAGTAATTACTATTAAGAGAAACAGAGTTTTGCCAGATAATTATTGACAAAGTTATTTCAATAGGCTTACTCATTAGAATAAAGCATATTTTCATTTTATTTATACATTCATTTTCAAAAATCAAAATTTATTCCAGTACCATTGGACAGTAATATGACATTTGATATCTAGATAGATCTTGTGAAATCAGTTGAAAATTATGTGTTTCATTATACGTTTTTTTTCGTACTTAATTGACTCCGAAGAATAACATATCATTTATTAGGTAACTACTTTAATGAAATTCTAGGTGGGTAGTAAAATAAAAATCAAAATAGTACCTATATTAATTTTCTAACAACAAAATAATTACGTTTCATTTTTCGTTTTGTACTTAATCACTACATAGTATAAAACAGAGTCGTTTTCTCTGTTCCTGTATCCCTATGTATGCTTAAATCTTTAAAACTACTCAACGGATTTTGATGCGGTGCGGTTTTTTTCATAGATAGAGCCGATTCAAAAGGAAGGTTTTTATGTATAATATTCCACACAGGGAAAGCCGCTGGCGGAAACATAGTCTAATAATATACACGTGTCGGTTATAAAGCAAATATTTACTTTGATTCTTTTTAATGTCCTTTTTGTACTATTATTGGAGCCTGCTGGACTGGACAATGTTCAATACATTGCGTTAGACCGCAATGGAATATGTCTAGTCAAAGTATCGCGGTATGCGGCTGCTGCAGGAGGTATGTCTTGTGGTCTGCCTCATTCCGATCGGGTTTATACACTATTGTAGTTATACAGATAACTATCTGTTTATGGACTAGATTCGATATCGTTTATTGAGATGGTTAATGCCTATAGGAAGAACGAAATAAAGTTAAGTACAAAGGAATAATAGACTTAATAAGTAAGTTGGTTTAATTAAAATTGACAATGAAATAATATTTTTATGATACTGAAGAATAATTTTTAAAGTTTTTATTAAAAAAATAACAAGCTAACATAATTTTAATGGTCATGGATACGTATAGTTGATAGATTACTTCAGTCGATTCGTCTGGCTACGGTAATTAAAATCATATGGTTTCATTTTTGACTGATCTATACACCTACTTACCTAACGTCCAAATAAAAGCTTCATTAAGGTGTATGTAGGTTCAAAGATTTCATGATACACTTAAGGATATCACACTGAATTATTATTTTCTATAATAAAAGTTTAGGTTCTCATTCAATAAACAGGTAGAATACATGTCGCATCGAATATTCTCGCCTCTTTATATCTGCCCAAATCAAAAGAGAATCACATACAACATTTAATTTTCAGATCCAAATCTTCTGATACAACAAAACACCATTTCAGTTTTGGAATGCGTTTCAAATATAACATTGCTTTTTTATCCTTATTGCCACTCGATCTCTTTATGGGAGACCATCTCGTTTTCATCCCAGAATAAACACATTTTTATTCCGAACTCATGCTAATAAAATGCAAATTCGGCCCTTTCGGCTTAGGGTTTAGCAATTTTCAACAAATGTGCCCTATTGAATTTTATTTGATTTCCTTAATTGCTGGACATTGTTGTTTACAGTAACTCTAATTCAACGTCTTTTAATTTAACTCGGTGTACTATAGTTTTATTTAGACGATTACTGTTAACTTTGTGTTAAAATAAAAATATATAATATACAGCACAATTTACTTTATTGAACTTTACGCTAAAAATCAACAAAAAAAAAAAGTTATATCGCTTTTATTTTCTTTAGCATACGATCATTTGCCTACTATATTGCAGTTGAAGGGTAGGGTAGACTGGGTACGGTTGTAACAATTTTTCTTTAATTGTCTACAGCAAAGCTATTACAACAGGAAACAACCACCAAAGTTTTTGAAATGAAAGTATATTTATTTGTCTTTAAATTAATATCAAAACCAATAGCTTTGGTAAGACAGATTAGCAGGAATAAGCCGTTTTAAAGAGTGTGTGCGATTGTTACAATTGACCCCACACCAGGGGCGGTTGTAACACCTATGGGTGGCAATTATAACGCCAAAAAATAATATATAAATCCTACGTAATAAATCAGTTTTATTCATAAAAAATAACAAAATGAAGTAAATACAAAATAACAACATTTAAGGCACATTTAAATAGTCTTTTTAAATAATAATAATTAATCAAAGTTAGGCAACAATATCTGAGGTTATACAATAGTTTTTTTCTATATTAAATTAAACTCATCGTAATTATGGTAATATAATATTTACTCCAATCAGTGAGACCATTGTTTGCAGCCTCCTCGACACTGAACTCTCTCCAGACTAAGTAGCAGAATACGTCTCTAGGCAAAGAAGGCAATAATACCGCTCTTGGTATTCGCTAAAAATTCTATTATGATATACATATCCTATGCTAACATTTGCAACCTGTTCTTGGTTATCTTAATTAACTGCATACGGCTTTCGCTTGTATCTCAAAAGAGATACATAGTTAACGCCGTACTCCTCTGCCTCTAATTTAACTTCATCGTAAGAGTTATTGTAAAACAACATGTCACTTCTACCTCCCGAAGTCTTTCTTATGCGTTTCCTAGGCACCCACTATACAAAAATATTATAAAATTAATGTTACAACCGTCCCCACCTTCCCATTTTGATAATAACTCTATCAAAAGGACGAAGTAGCATAACTTATACAAAAACGAATGAGCTTATTATAATCTTTAAAATACGACGATTACATAAGCATATTTCGAAATACGATAGTATAATTAATATTTAAGCTATATCATAAAGAAATACCTCAGTATACTTACTTTTGGTTGACAAAACACAAGAGGCCTCCTTGTAAGCGTTATTACCGCGCGAAAGGTGACTCTACATTGGCGATCGTGTCGAGACTTGTTACCCGCGTGCTCTTCTCTTTTTGCCCCTCACCTACCATTCATAGTTTCGATGATATTCGAGTTGTTACAACCGTACCCAGGCTACCCTAATGTAGTTAGTTTTCACGAACGGGTTTTTCAATGGTCGCCCTTCCTGGGCATATCCTGGAGTCAACGCGAGTAATTGATAATAGACAAATCACAATGCACAGCTCCAATTTACTGGATTCACATTGACTTAAACATTTTTTATTATTTAGATAAAGAAATTACAGACGGAAAATTCTTAATCAATTTCACAATAAATCTACCAAATCGTGTTTAACATGAATAGGCTTTAACATTAGTTTTATCATAAATCTAAACAAGTTTAGGATGGATATAGATTCTATGGTAGACCTATAACTATTTAACTTGCTTAGGTAGCTTAGTAAAATGAACATAATACTAGATTGCAACCGTAAGATAGTAATGAAACTATTTCGTATCTTCTGGTATATAATTATATTCCTAGGGATATACCCACTATACCCATATTACCTAAGGTTTTATCTATCTTACTGTGACACATAGATTCTTAACCACGGGTAGTCCCTGGAAGCATTGGAAGTTGTCGGTGGACTGGATATCTTAGAAGACCTCTGTATTTATCAACATTCAAGGCATTACTGCATTAAAGATACTTGTTCGGAGGTCCACGTCACGAAATGTTAAGAAAGAATCTCTGATTTACACTACCATAAATCTTAATTGTGCCACCAACTTTTAGTTCCTGTCACAATCGATCTAGAAACAACAGGAAACCACATAACGTACATAATCATAGATTTACTATTATCTATGTATAGATGATAGTAAATCTATGATTTTCAGCAATCTTTTTTTAATATTTGTTGTTGTAGTGGGAACAGAAATACATTATTTGTTATCAACCGTCTAATTATCAGCCTATCGATAGCGGAGATACCGCCTTCTGGCAGACGGACGGACACCAGTCTTAGCAGTAGGATCCCGTTTTTTACCCCTTGGGTACGTAACCTTAAAGAACTAAAAAGTTATCTTCTTAAATTCTTTGCTTAGGTATATCAGTTCAGCATGACATTTCGAAGCAGTGTTCGTACGCTTGCCGCGTCGAATGGATGATTTGACGTTTGCTTACCGAGACCATTGTTTATGAGTTCGTATATAGTCATGATGACGGCTTGACGGTCAATTTACACTAGGTCAGCACTGACTTGCCTAGGTATCGGTGTCAGTAAGAGGAAGTATTTAAAAAAGAACCTTAGTTCCTGAAATTAAACTAGATATCGCTACGGTACTTTCTTAATTTCTGCATGACAACCCTTCCGGTTTTCTATTATGTATAAAAGTAATTTAATTTTCAAAACTCAATAAGAAACTCATATTCTATTAGTACTTTTTCGTATTTATATTGATATCTGAGTTTCGAACTTAGCAAATTTCAGTCTTTTAATATGTTAGTAAAAAGGAACGGAAATGACTATCTTTGGTCCATTCGTTTCCGGCAACAATCAACTTTTGCTAGAGTCGCCATCTAGAGAGGTGCTTTTTAGTGTTCTTTTTTTTTAATGGCTTCCTCATTAATTTCGTGTAACCGATTCCTGATATTTAACGAGTGAAATACTCTTTATTGTACACACACCATAGGTAAAGGATCAAAACATGATAATATAACGGACAGTATAATATAAGAGAAAATCTTCCAGGAGACCTACCTTGACATGCCCTAATTTTAACCAACATCCATTGAAAAATTCGCCGGCGGGACCGTCACTGCATCCGCTTGCGATTAAATGAGACAAGGTTGATATTCAGATAAATGAAACTCATAAATTAGATAATCCAAATGTTTTTTTAATAACTTTCATAATTTATACACAATAAATAAACAAATAAATGCGTATAGTAACAATTTACAAGCCATTAGCACTCGTAATTTATTAATTTACAAACAAAAAGATTCACAAATTATTTGTATTAGATATACAAATTTGTAAATGTGTACAAATATGAAAAAAATATTCAGTGTTTGAATTAGGGGTTGTGTATCAATCACACATAATTTTCGTATAGGTAACATTAAAGAGTAGTTAAACGAAATATAGCAGATTATATAGCTATTGTTTTAATTTGTATGAAAAAATGCAAGCACTAATGAATAGCTAGTAAAATTTTGTGTTAATTTAACTCCTGTTTCTCTAATTTTATTTAAATAAATAAAGCTATTTTAAGAGTTGAGAGTTGAAACTATTTTTTAAGAAAAAGAAATCATAAAATGGTCAAAATAAGTTACAAATAATTTGAAAAACGTATTAATACAGTCGAGTAAAATTGCAATTATCAAACTGAGAAAAAATATATTCATCGAATATTTAACGATAAAGAATAAAACCTCATATGCGTGGCTTCTTTAGACATACATAATTTAATTGACAATATTAATATAGATAACGATTTATTGTCAAGGCTGTGGTAATCGTAAAAAATAATACACGATGGATACTAAACATAATACGCCACTGAAATAAAAAAGTAAATGTTAATAAAATTTTTAATAAATTGAAGTCACTCTAAAGTGATTCGGCAGACTGTAGCTTTTAACATATAATAATCGAAGTGCTAGTAAAAACAACATTATCCAATTTCAAGGTTTCATAACCTCATAAATTACATTGACAATTACTTATAAATTTTATTTGTGCGATAATTTCATAGATTCCTAACTATTCAACCTAAGGGTCGGTACATATATGACAGAAGATACGTCACGTCGTCTGTCGTAGTCACGTCAAAACTGACAAATACGTGATACTAATTGTTGCCCGCGATTTCATCCGCGTGGTTAACCGAAAAAACACACAGGGATCGAATTTCAGAGTCTTGGTTAGCACCTACGTCCTAAATAGAACCCCAGTGCAAAATTTGAGACACCTACCACTTGTAGTAAAGCAGTTTCACACAAACTATCAACCCCAGAAACAACCCCTTAGGGGCCGGATTTCGCAAAATCCTGTCTAAGTGAACACCTATGTCTTAAAAAACCTCCATGCAGAATTTAAAATTCTTATCACTAGTAGTTTCTGAGATTTCGTGATAAGTGAGTGTCCTTTCGCTTTTATATAGACGACATTTAACTTAACGACGGATAAGATACTCGATGGCCCTTCCGTCAGATTTGTACCGACCTTTAACGGCTGCCATTTTATAGTATGGCACAATGTGAGTTACACCGATATTGTACTATAAAATAATCGTGTAATTCTTACAATATAACAAGTCGTTGTATAACTACTCCACGCGTTTTGGTACCGGCTACCAAGTTTTGTAAATTAGCACCTATTCATTTACAATATACCCTTGTAAGTACAAAATATTATATAAATGCTTAATTTAACGTAAAAGAAATTCGAAAATAATACTGCGATAACAAAATAAATAAATGTATATAAAAAATCTCAAATCGTATATACTTTTTTTAATGTTTTAAAGTATTGATTAAGAAAAATGGTTTAATGACCGCGTTGCAAATTCAGGTGTTGCAAGAAGAGTAGGGTACTCAATTTTAAATGTGTGAGATTTCACTTTTTTCTTGGAAATTTCCAATAGACATACACCACCAATGACTTCTAAATAAAATGTGACATACATTTTGTATTATCGATCACTGGGATTAAGCACTCATTATGAAATTTGTATTACATAAACTAGGTATTACTTTATGTTTTAAGGGCATATATAATGTTAAAACTTTGTACTGCATTTGTATAACTAATGTTATTATAAGATCGATTTACCTCATGCGTTACATTTTATAAATTTTATTGTAATTAATGTCATCATTAACTTATTATGGTAGAGTGTAATCTTTAGGGCGCGTGCATATATGACGGAAAATACGTCGCATAACGTCAGAACAGCAGGCCTGCTGTTGACAATTTTCAAGTAACAATGGCTTCTCAATAAAATTTAATAACTTCCATTTTCCCTTTTTACTATCTTTCTAAAGTCCAAATTATTAGTGCAATGTCTTGCTCACACATCAATGGTGACAGATAGTCCATAACACTGGAATTAAGGTAGATAGTACAATGACATAATGCAAGTTGTTGAGATTCTATTGAGATGCAATTATTACGTAAACATTATCAGAAATGGCCTGCAGACAATAGGGACGACGACTAATTTTTCTTTGTTTGTCCGTGAGGTAAATTATTGAAAAATATTATACAAGTATTTTTTTATTTTTGAGTTAAAATATCTCATTATGCCACTCCTCAAATGCCTGCTTTCTAAGCTATTTCTTGCTAAATTGAAGTAAAAAATACGTATCTAATATTTTTTTTTATTATCTGACTGACGGAATTACCGTTTTTTACCCAGACATCATCCCAATTGCGGCCGCCGAGAGAATGCGTATCTGACACCTGCCAAATACTCATGACTAGTGGTTTCGTTGTAGTACACTGATACTTATTAGACTATCTATTTTCGTAAAGAAAATGTATTTAAAAAATCAACCCGGAAATTAAAATAAAGTTTATGATAAATATCTTATGATTAAGTTGAATCAGATTCAGAGTTGCTTAAAGAGATACTGTCTATTATTTTTAATTGTTGTACTTAGCAATAATAATGTATTGAGAGAAATATGTATATATATTAAATATGTATTATTTAATTGTTATAATTGCCTGTTCTCAGGTGATACAGTAATGTTGGTTTCAACGATTTTAATATTCTTGAGGATATTTTTATACATTTTTAGTCGAGCTACTGATAGCTCGACTAAAAATGTAAATGTGATGTTTCTGAAAACACATACTTTCGACGGCCGTTCTATAAGAAATTAAGCGACGCATTTGGAGTCAAACATGCATGGACCAATAAACCTTTTATTCATACAGATGTATGTCTTATTTAATTGCCGTTCTATAAAATTTTAAATCAACCAAACGAAAACATTCAAAAACAAGCAAACATCGCAACTTAGATACTCAGTAGCATGTGTTAGTCCACTGAGCAATCTGGCATTCTTTTGACTGTAGCAATAGACCAGTTAAATTCCACTTAAATTCAAACATCACTACACTGAGAGTAGCATTGAAAACGAACAGCAAAAATGTTATATATTGTACTGACGTGATGCTGTGGGTATATAAAAATACAAATATCAAAACAAGTACATAAAAGTAACAAAATCTTAATATTAAATGGAACACTTTATTTCACAGTTCTATTAGTTCACTGGCCCATTTTTGATGCACCGTCTTGAGGTGTTCATATGCTCTATTAGTAATATTCAGAGCTGGCACAATTTCCAATAAGCCATTCTCTCCTATTAGACTTAGACCAGCTAATCCGAGGTAAGTGTGCATAGGGTCTGTGCAAGTGTCCGGCCATTTTGAAAAACCTCCCACTACACAGTCTTGCGTTTCATAAACGTATTTTCTATTGTTTCCGTAGTTGGTCATGTGCAACATATCTAATATCTTTAAAGAAGCCCCCACCCAGAAACTGTAACACGTGTCTACAGATTTATTAGGCCTTCCTTGAAAGCCATCCACTTGCCTGAATAGCAGCCAGCGTTTGAGACCTTCTACTTGTTCTATGGATAGCTAAAATAAATTAATAAAAATATTTACTACACTCAATCTGAAGCTTCTTCATTCATTACATCACTAACCTATGTAACAGGAGCAAAAGTTGCTCATTACTCCTACTTTAAAAGTTTATAATATTGTATGAAAATTCCTTATTTTTTTCGTGAAATACTATTGTATGGAAATCTAATATTGCAAATTTTATTTTGTAAGTCGCAATTCCGTTTAATAACTATTTAAAGCTTGAAACAAACGCGATTTCCTTCCAAGTTTGTAAAAAAATCTACGCTGTTTGAAATAATACTTTTAAGTATTTTTTTAATTAATAAAAGCCACACACGAAATATTTCTAAAAAGCAAACACGTTTTCTTGCCTTGAAATTAAATCAAAATATAACTTTTTATAGCCGCGAAAACGCTGTTCGTCATATTCATGACGTCATTGTAATATGTACATAAACACATGCATAGAGCAGAAGAATACAAGATGTCAATTACGAAATAATATATATATATATATATATATATATATATAAGTTAAGAACAGCGTTCCCTAGGAATTTGATTTATAATGAATAGGTATATCTCTATGATTATATATCTTTATGATTAATCTGATAGCTATCGCCACGGTGACGTCACATAATGGTGGGTCGTGTTTCAAATCACGTGACACACACACAAAAAATGTAGACTTAATTTTAAGATTATAAGATAATCGTGCTATTTTAAGACTCAATATCAGAATGTCTATGTTTATTACCACGTAAATTTTAGTTTTTGTGTTATTTCGTGTCTTATTTTTCACTACCAAAACAACCCTATTCGGAATGATTTGTTGACGAACTGACCGTTACTGATAAAGACTTGGCGCGTTGCAATAAAAAAAAGAAAGACTCGGTGATTTTGAATTTCTTCCTTATAAGCGGTAATAAAAAGTTTGATACATCCGCTTCGCATAGCAAATGCATAGTTATATGTATGGTATGACGGATAAACTTTGAATTTCTTTGAATAATTCTATATGTATTTCAATATTGATCAAACCTTGTCCAATTGGTTGGTGAGGCTGAGGGTAGCGAGGGCGCAGTAAGTGGTGCCGCCGTGAGATTCCAGCTCGGGACACTGGGCGATGCCGAAGTCGTAATTCTAAGACGTCGTTAAAATTACATGCTTTTATCTTCATACAAAAGAATTACATATACACTTAACATACAAGCGATGTAAGAGCTATATGGTCCTTCGGCGTATATTAGACGTCAAAACTAGTTACCAAAGCCGATTCTAGACGATTGACAAGCTGGCGGCCGAATGTCATAGATAAGTGATTTATATGAATGTATTGTTTTTGGAAACGTTGTCATTGTAACGTTTTTTAACACATCCACTAATAAGGATCAGTGTGAAGCTGACGGAAAATCCGTAAAACGTCTCACGGAAGTATGGGTTAGTACGCGACTATCTGTAGCGTGCAACTCTGACGTTAAGCGACCGATGATACGCGACGTATCTTCCGTCAGATGTGCACCGACCCTTAAGCTGTAAAACGATCGTAATTCTATCGTCTTCCAAAAATTATACACATCACATCAATATCATTGGATACTCTAACTTTTTTCGTTCCATGTTCGCTTGGTACTTGTTGATGCAGGCGCTGTAGTTCAAATTACGAAGCTTGCGGCATCGTGACACGCCATGGCAGTTGTGTGTTTAAGATGATTTAAGGCATTACGAATAAGTAATGTATTAGTGTTTTGCCTTTTTCATTTGAACTAAGTCACATTGAAATGATGTGAACATAGCTATTTGAAACTAAAAACTACATTAAAGTAACACATTAACGTCTCTATCTTAGAGTGTTCGTATTTGTATACTCTAAAAATAATAATTTTATAAACTGCATTATTAAGTTATTATTTAAACTGCCGTACAGCAATGAAAGAAAATAATACTCACAATAGATTTAAGAATGTATTCTGTGGCTTTCTGTATATTGAAACCTGACCAATCGTCGAGTATATAGCTGATACACGCTGCGCAATAAACGAATCGCATATCCGACTCGCAGCCAGATAACGTTGCGGAGAAATTACCTTCCTCCGTTTGTAAGGCTTTCACGCCTGTAACAAGCATTTATAAAGGATATTGTTTTTACGAAGAGCTCGATAGCGCGCACAGTTGAACGCAACCTGTTAACATACACTAATCAACACACAGCAACCCTCATTGGCTACCCCTCACCCAGGTATTAGGTCTTGGCCCATAATCCCAGTTCGATTCAATTTCATCCATAGGGAAGGTGTATGCCCCAGCGACACTAATAGGCTGGTGATGATTTTATTATCTTTATGCAGTGTTCTATTGTAAATTGTAGACACATTTTATTTTATTTTTTATACAATTTAATATCTGTGATAAAGAAGAAAGAAAGTTTCTATAAAAAAGTTGTTAGTTATGATTGACACACTGTATAATACGAACCGAAATGGCGATTTTCCCCGCACCTCAAGTGCTACAGCGCATAGTTCAACTTATGTGCCTCGCTCTTGAACGCAATCGTGACCTATCGACAGTGCAATTTTGCCGCTCCGCACTCTTGTTTGGTTCACTAGCATACTCTGACGTTAGTGTACTCACTCAAGAGTACGAAACGGCACAATTTTATTGTCCATAAGTCGCGATCGTGTCAGATCGGGGCTGTACCCTAAGCTAAGTGAGATTGAAAAATGGAGTCCAACGAAAGTATATTTGCTATTTATCATAACGACGTTCGACATTTATCACAAGATGACATTTTATTTTGTAAATAATAGTATATCTGTTCAAAGTATTAAAATATACTCGCTTTCCACCGTCTGTACGGTCTAAACTACACAACGGATTTTAATGAGGCTTTCATCAATATACCTAATTATAGAGTGATTCAAAATGATTATTTATAAGACTACGCGGACAAAGCCGCTGGCGGAAAGAAAGCTGAACAAGCAAATGTAATGAAATATATAGAGTATATTTACCAGCAACCAAAGCTTTCCTGTTAATTCTGGACAGATCATCACCGAGCGCCAAAAGAATACATAACCCAGTATAAGTCATAGCTAGATGTCCACATTTGTAATGATTGTTTATGTCGTCTAAATCAATGTTGACAGTTGACGATCCTTGGAAGCCACATGAAGACATGTCTCCATCTGGAACGTAAATGGTGTTACTTCATCGTTACCAGCAGGGTTTAGAAACCTGGTTAATGTAATTAACCAGCACGTAAGAAACTTAATATTTTTGAGAGTATTTTTATTTGAGGTTCGGTTATTCAGAATAGAAATTATTTCTGTTCTGGTCAGATGGAAACAAAACGGTTTTTGTTTAAAATACCGGTTAATTTTACTCGCATATTTCGATTACTGTACTCATCGCTTTATCTATCTTATCTGTACATCTCTCACTCTGGAGCCACTCTTTGTTAGTGAAAAACTCTTCATTGAAAAAAATATATTATCGAAAAAGGGGTGTACAAAACGCCGCCTACTTTGTTGCTTGGAACTTACCAGCAGGTCTATTGCCTAACTGAACTGACAATGTATAGCCCCAATCATTGTCATGTGTCAAAACCATTTGTTCGCATTTTTGAAATCGCAATATCGACGATCTCTACTAAAGTTCATTTTGATACATTTTGAGTGAGAACTGCCTAGGGATAAGAGATTTATTAAAAATGAATTACAGAATACAAATCCGCACGATAACCGGTTGCTCATAGAGCTCTGTGAACGATTTATTTTGATTGTCCTCAGAAGTTGTCAGGGTTACAGAATAAGAGGGCAGATTAATACCAGTGATTATATTGTTCACGATATTATTTCGAAAACTTGGTAAATAATCTTAATTAACCGGTATTTTAGATTACGTTCCAAGGCTTGGGGTGAGATCGCTTAACTCTCTATATCTTAGCGATGTTATTGAGTAATTTCATTTCATTATAATGGTCAAAGATTGGTTTGTCTAATTCTAGATCAGTCCTGATTGATCTGCTAACAGTCAAGCAGGCCGCAGAGCTGCTGGTTATGTTATGAAGAAAAGCAAATATATAATTATTTAATCTCATAAAGGAAGACAAAATTATAAGCAAACACAGTGGTGGTATGACTACTGTCCTTAAACTGCAGTCGCAAGAGTGAAGTGCTTTCGAACCTTCGACAGGAGTGACGTAAGTCTAATTAAAGAGTGAAAATTTTTTTAACCCTTTTTTACATCAGACAAATTATATAGTGTTACGCTCAAAGATCGAAGTTGCTCATTGAGCGAAAAATAGTTCTGAACCCGCTATGGTCACAGTAAAATATCCACATAGCGAAATTCGTGTTGTGGTTCTTATGGAAACGCTCACGATGCGTTATGGCATTCACAGAATAGCCAAATAGCGATCTTTGCGCGTAACATATGCAAATTAAATTGTACATTTCCATTGATAAGAAAATCATCAAATTAAAATAAGGCCTGCGAATTAGAGCCAAAACTCTAATACCGTAAAAAAATTGTGACTTCTACTAAATATTTAAATAATAATATGCTATTTCGTTCGCAATCACGTTTACCTTATTAAAAATAGAAATACATGCGCTAATAAACTTATTTTTAATGAACAAAATTAAGATTATTCATACAATAAGTCTTCACTGATAACACTAACGTGCAATTAGATATTTTATTATGAGATTAAAAATGGCCCTGTCTGTTGTCACAACTAGCTACTGACTTTAGTAATGTTTTATTATATGTACTTGTGATAAATTTTTATACTATCCTTTAATTGCTCATAAAGAATAAAGACCAGTTATCATATACTTTAAATATGTCGTCATAACAATAATACGGGGAAATGATTCAGATGTTATTTCCTTAACTTTTGAACGTACCTCTTTTTATTATTAAATTATATTTATACCTAATTCTACTTCAGATTACCAAGAGATATTATACTGTATGTTACCAGAGAAGAAATGATCACATATTTAAAACGCCTAAAATAGGATAGCCAAATACAATAACAATGTAATATACTTTTTTAATCAATAATACCTACTTACTGTTTTTATTAGGAGGCACCTGTAACAAGTATATCCAATCAATTATTCTAGATCTCAGCTCCAATGAAATAGATGATATCGACCCGAGCACATCTAAGCCCGAAACAGAAAAGTATGCAATTGTGACTCTGAAATATAATTAATATTTTAAAAATTAAAGACATACCGCTATCGAATAACATGGACCATTTTTATAATTGAGTGCCATGAGGTTTTTATTATTCTACTTATAAATTGGGTACAGATTGAAAAACTATGTACTTGAACCATATAAATGTGGTCAAGCTTAAATGTCCTGAAAGAGAAAAGAAATCCAATGAAAAAAAGATGTGCCGATGTTTAAAGCCATTCACAACGTTTGTGACATTTCCTGTAACTTTAAGCAATGTTTTAACATTTCCTATAAATTTATTAGAAAACAAATCCTTTTAATATCTAAATTAAGTACTCGTTAACGAAACTTTACTGTCAAAAATTTTTGGAAGAAGTAAAAATCAATAAATTAAAAAATAATCGATGGCTTAAGTTGTTATTTAACTATTTCAGTTAACAGTTAAAATGGTTATGTTATGCTTCTTTCTGTTCAATCATTTTTCATCACTGTGATTAGAATCTACAGATCTGATAAACCCCAGATTTTATTCCCTGGAGGTCACTGTTGAGATATAATGAACCTTGTTCCTATCTGTCAACCCCGAATGACACCAAAATAGGGCGTCAAGATGCACAAGCTGAACTGTCCGCACAGAACTTTCTGGTCTAAAGCTTGATACTTCTCTACGTTGTTGCGGAACGAGATAAATTGATCTATACATTTCTGAATACCCCTTGAGCCTCCCACAGATTTCTTTCAGGGTTCATCCGCGTTCTCCTTTCAAGAAATTATGGCCTTATGATTCACTCACTGTATCAGCGTCTTGAACCTATACATACTATAAAACAAAGTCACTGTCCGCTCTCGTTACGGTGAGATCTTTTAAGCTACAATGACTTTTAATGCGTCATCAATATACATAGCGCTTCAAAAGGAGGGTTTAAATGTAAAATACGACCACGCGTGTGAAGCTGCTGACAGAAAGCTAGTATATAACAAATAAATCGACGACGATAAATAGCGTGGTCATTAAATATCTGATACATCGTCGTCCCATAGATATTGAAATACCAAGACTAGGACTAAGAACAGGTACCAAATTTATCATGCACATATTCTGCTTAGGAAAATTGCAGAACCTTTGCACAGGACAAAGAAAATAATGTTACCTTCACTACATATTGAGTATATGACGAAATCATGAATGGTTACAAACATGAGCGGATAGTTACAAACATGGTCAAGAATACCCACATTTTGGCTGTCCCTGTTTTTTGGCAAAAGCACATTGTTGACTCATTATGTTCAAACAAAAAGGTTAAGAAATGGAAAATATAATTTATTTTACCTGCTTGCAAAACAATTCTAACTGAAATTCTAATGATATTCTAAATCAATGGCAATATTATTAGATTAATTTTTTTTTTGAAATTATGAAAAACATGGCGTATCCCAAAATTCTTCAATGAATAAAAATAAGAAGGATTTTATTTATATATTTAAACATACATAAAATACTTATTTATTTGACATATTTCAAATATTGTATTGAATTTTTAAAATGCTAAGCACCAACAACTTTACTTAATAACACTAAAATCTAGGTTTATGCCAGACCATGTCGCTTGGCTATGAAAATTTGTTTTTTATTTATACAACTGCCCACCAGTTAAGTTGCACAATGTAACCTTACTGCATCAAGAGATTATGAAATACCTAGGGATGTATTTACATCACAAGCTGAATTGGAAGACTCACATAAAAGTCAAGAGGGATCTGGCGAAAAAAAAATGAGGAGAATTGACTGGTTAATTGTAAGAACATTATCATAATCATCATCAAATTACTCATATATAAGGTAGTTACTAAACCACTATAGATATAAGGAATTCAGCTCTATTAGACTTGATTGACTAGTCCATCTAAAGCAAATATCCTATGTTTATAAAAAATGCCAAAATTCACAAATAAGAGTGTGCCCTTCAAACCAATGGCATACAACAAATTTGATAAAATCTTGGCTGATCACAGATATAAATAGAGGAAGTAAAAGAAAAGAAAAAGACCCATACAATTTTTTTCTACAGATTTTATATATTGTTAGGAAAAGAAGCATTTTCTTATTGAAGTAACATTTAAGCATTAATAGAAATACATGTGACATAAGGATAAATATATGGAATATTACTTTTTTTTTTCATTTTGTAAAAAGAAGACCCATTTAATCAAATATGTATAATTTTTTAACAATAGTGAGTATATTTTCTTATGCATATAGCAACTTTTTCTGTAGCTATTCCAAATCTATTCCATGCCAAATTCAACTTTATTACTATAATGCCTTCAGAAACCTAAATATGATAATTCAAACAAACTTTTTATTACATTGGATAGTTTAACCAAATCTCTAACCTAGTGTTTCCTATCTTGTTTTTTTTTTATATAAGAACACTTTAGTGGTCGTGAGTTTTTCCATCAAAACCTATAAGTTTTAGTGGTTATTTAATTATTGAGGGCCTGTTGTAAATTCAGATGCACATCAAAATTAGTATTTTGAGATACCGTTTTGTGGCTCGAAGGCAGTACAGGGGTGCGACAGCTGAACTCTCTAGCTATTGGATCTCTTATTGATGTTATAGTGATATTTTGTTTTATTTTCTTACTTAAACATATACCTACTTTGATTGAATGATGATTATGGATTTATACAGGAGCATTGTTACCAATTTAGTCATTTACTCCAAATTTATCCACCAAACAACATGTTGAATTAGTAATATGAAACAAAATTTAAGTCATAACATCTAGAATCAAGACTGAAGAGGTAGGCGATCACTCTGCAGGTATGCTATTAATTAAGACTGTTTCTTGCCATAATTAAATGAATCATCTCATTTAGCAAAGTTTATAGTAGGTAAACCTTCACATTTGTTGGTATCTTTTTATACACTTACAATTTCATTTATATGAGGGACAACATTTTTCAATCAGATTCCCTATTAAACAGTTATTTTAAAGCTAACTTTGCTTTAGAAATAAAGGCATATAATAAGATATGACATTAAGATTTCCTTAAAGAAATTATTAAATTAGTTACTCAAACTATTTGTAACATATGACATGATTGATAGCATAAAAATTATACGATATACTAAACCTGTTTTTATTAAACGAGTAAGGTTATGAAAATAATGAAACAATTCTTACCTTGTTGTATCATGTGATGACAACGATGATGGTAAAATATTTAAAAATCTCATAAAGTATTTAACGTGCTGCCGATGAGCCAATTGTGTTCGGTCGTCATAACTCATTTTTCGTTTATATTTACAAAAATCAATCCAATAAGAATACCAATTTAGTCTCCCTTGGCCTATTTGGGGAGTTTATATTTAATTGCACGGCACTTAGTCCTTTTCAGTCTATTTTTGGTATCTGAATCTGATTGACAATAAATATTCCACACTTGTAAATTTACAACAAAATTTCTTGAATCTCTTTGATACCGCGCTGGATTTCCGGTGGATTTCACTGAAAGAAACGTCAAATGTCACAGAACACAACGTTAGAAGTAGTAGTTTCGTCAGACAGACGAAGGAACTAAGCCATACAGCCAAATAGTGGGTACTGAACACAACGTGTGGAGTGGCAAGGAGATTTTAGTCTGTCTGTACAGTCTTAATTTTCGAATCATGTTTTCTGTTTCCTGTTGTTTTAAACAGAAGAATGTTCTAAAAGGTGGGATGCAATGTTTGAATGCTTAATCGTCTTTGGAGTATTTTTATGTATCCCGAAGATGCAATAAATTGAGAGAGGACAATTAGATAGAGGTGACCTGTTTTCGTTTGCATTCCACGTTTTATTCATGGAACACTATGCTTGCTTTCCATATTATTTAATTACATTATTTATGTAACTATTATCCATGACACTTTATTTCGTAAAATTATGCAAGGAAAAACTATGATAATATGCAATTAAATTAACAGACATATCACATCATAAGTTTCTTAATGATGATGTATGTTTACTATGTTTCTGCAAATTGTTACCGATTTTAATTTTTTCTATTAGAAAACTGATGATCCAATATAAATTTTATCAAAATACAATTGGGAAGTGTTGTTTTTAAATATAAATACATTGTATATGCTTTCATCATAATCTTATATATATATATATAAAATTTGTGTAACGATGTATGTTACCAATAAACTCCAAAACTACTGAACCGATTTCAATCAAATTTCACATGTAGCCGTATTTTGGTCTAACTTACTGGATAGGATAGTTATCATCTCAATTATTCGCTGAAGTCGTGAATGTAAACGAATAAACTGTACTAATATATTGTTTCTTAAGCAAGTGTTTATTTACTGTTTAGTTTTATGAAGTTCTCATAAATGGCGGTGTACGTTGATTCATAGATAAAATTCTTCAATATCGTTTGACATCTAGGTTGCAAATACACCCAATAGATGGCGCTGTGTTCTAGATGACGTTTATTCTAAAGTAATCTGCGGTAACGTTTCTTTCAAAGAATTTTGCATAGATTACGTTTTCGATTAAGTTTTTTGTAAACTTCAGAACTGTTTGTGTTTTCATCTGTATTTCAAATTGCATTGAATTGGATTAATATATCTAAAGTTTCAAAGATAAAGTGCTGAAGGGTGATTCCTGAGAATGGCGTTCTTGAGTTGATTTTCCTGGTCATTTTGAAATCTCAAAATAACGAGTATATTTTGGGTCAGGGTTAAAATTAAGAGCCTTAGTTATAATATTTTTCGATAGGCACCCATTTCTGTTCAATGGTTTCCAAGAGATTTGATTTTGAAATTTCGTGACCAGGAAAATCAATAATGACGCACAGGAAAATCAAAAATAAATCAAATTTCATTGAAAATCTGTTTGACTTTTATTTATTTTCCAAAAAATAACCAAATTATTTATTATTATTGCAATTTTATACCTAAATATATTTTAGACACAAAGGTGTCAAACATTTTTATAATAATAAACCTAAAAGTCACTTATATGAACAGTTAAATATAGTATCTATTTATCGGTAAAATCGCAGACTTCAACTATAAAATGTACGAGTATTTACAATTTTTTTTTTATCATGAATACTTTATCCGCTATGGATTGTAACGATACTGAAAACTATGTCAAATATCTACGTTAGTATTTCTACTTAATGACTAGTTGTCAATTAAAGAGTCGTTGAAATGGATCATCTACCTATCATTTAAATAAAATCAATCAGTCTTTTTTAACTCTGTGCATACATATAGCTACAATTATCAAGAAACACAAAAAACATTAACCTTAATAATTTTTTTTTAATACTTTGTCAAATCCTTTAATGTTTTTGAAAAGTGCATCACAATAACTATAAGTTTAAATGCAACAATCAAAGTTAGAAATTATAACCACACTACTATGTACCTACTTATGCTAGCATAATAATAAAGCCTCAGCGGTATTCGAAAAGCTGGCAAAAACATCCAAAAATATGTGTTTATAACGAATAAATGCAACTATTAAAGTAACAAAAATTATAACTAAACTATTAGGTACTTTCCAATATAATTATTATTACCAGCCTCAACATTTTGCGAAAGGTCACTAAAACATATACAAAAATAATTTAAATAAATGATTAACGATTAAACAAAAAACAACTAAACAATTATATGCTTATTTCATACCTTGTAAACATTGTTAATAACAACCTTTCTCCCAACTTTCCAAATAAAAATCTTAATGAGTAACAGCAGTAGGGCAATTCTGCTAATGTTTACGTAATAATCGCATCTCGATAGAATTTCAACTACTGGCATTTTACCATTGTACTATCTACCTGAAGTCCAATATTAGTAGTGCAATGTCTTCCTCACACATCAATGGTGACAGATATATTATAATATTGGACTTCAGGCAGATAGTACAAGGACAAAATTCAAGTCGTTGAGATTCTATTGAGATGTGATTATTACGTAAACATTAGCAGAATTGGCCTACAGGAACATTACCTTTTGCTAATTTTATCACTTCCAAAGTGGCAAGGTACATCCGAAGAAAATTAGTCTCATGACTCTATAAAATCTATCGTTACTCCTATGAAAATCGTATCTTATTATTGTCTATTTATAAAAAATCAGTAAATAATGAAACCTTATTTATCATTATCAATTATACCAATATCAAAATATTTTTTGTAGAGTTTTAATTAAAGCTGTCATATTTTTAAAAAATGTTATAATCGTCACTGTCAGAGTCACCAAAAAATTTTTTTGGGGTTTTTTCGTGGAGCGACTTTAACACGGTGTTTGTCAATGTTGGTGTTAGAACTCCTTCGTCAATAGAAGTAACCTCCGCCCAAAAACTGTCATCTTCGGGTAAGTTTTTGGAGTCCATAGCATTTATGGAACATTCTCCAGTTTCATGTGGGGCAACATTCTTTAAAAGGGACCTTTTTTTTATAGGATTTGATTTCTATTGATCTGTTTTGTACAGGGTTTTTCGGAATAGAGGCTTCTGTATCAAAAAAGCCGATGTGATGACTATGTACACATTTAACTGGTTCTAAAGAACATTCGTCCAAACCGCAACTCAGATGTCTCATTGCTAACACCTTGCTATTCCCAGACCACACCACTTGATGAACTTTCATCGTTCCTCGAAATTCTTGAATTTTTGGGGGAAGCAGCAATTCTTTTTCGTAGACACCAGATTCATGCACAACTTTTAACAGAACTCCAGGAACTGGTTTCTCGAACACTCATATCAGGAATCAAAGCCCAAAAAGGACGCATGGAGCAAAAACAGCTGTAACTTATATTGTGTTCAGGGTGAATTTGCAGAAATTTTTTGTGTAAGTTTAACAAGGAATCAGTTAGGTAACTTTTTTGTCTTTTTATTTTAGATTTAGTAATGACTTGTTTTTTGTATTTTGCTAAATCTTTTTTTAATTGTAAAATTTTTCTGTCTCTTAGGTTTATTTCCTTATTTGTTCTGTATCTAAATTTTCTCAACAAATGTTTCCAAGGGGATTTCTTTTTTATGGACTGCTTTGTAGTAGGGGTAGTGATTAGCCGAATGGTGACCTTCGAGGAGTTGACAGATTTGATGAATCAGATGTGGTATGGGGAATAGAAGATTCGGAAAGTTGATTATTGGTAGGTGTAGCTGGTGGAGATGAACAAACAATGCCTTGTTGATCTGTGTTGTACGTAGTTTCCCTAGAGCTTGTTTCTGCTTGCGATAACAATTTTGTTAATGATCGTTTTGATCGTCTTGGTAATCGAGCAATGGAATTGTTTCCAGGAGAGTGTTTTCTACTGACAGCGGGAGAAATCGATAAACTTGCAACTGGAGAGTTGGTACCACTTTCAGAAGAAGAAAGTCTTAAAGGATCAACGTCACTTATTGGATTCTTAAATTAAAAAAAAAATTAAAAAAATTAAAAAACAATAGTAGCTCTTTTCCAGCAGTTATGCATTTTAATCAACGCGTTTCGGGTAGGGGTGATGAGATCTGTAACATGTTTAGTGAGTACTTCCATTCAACGTTTCTTAATAGCACACACACTGATTATTTGGGCATCACCCAGGAATGTAATGAATCTGTTGCTGATATTGCGGATATTTATATTGACCCCCAGGAGATATATAAATTACTTAATTCCCTTGATCTTAATAAATCAGCAGGTCCCGATAACATTCCAGCTATTTTTATTATCAAGTGCGCTGTAAGCCTGGTTACACCGCTTACCATATTATTTAAACGATCTTTGCTTGAAGGGGCTGTGCCGCGAATTTTGAAATCAGCCTATATCACTCCTATACATAAGAAAGGGGCCAAAGATGTCATTGAAAATTATCGACCTATTTCAAAATTATGTTTATTCGCAAAAATTTTAGAAAAAATTGTTTACAATCAGTTATACGCCTCGTTAAGGCAAGTTTTTGTTTCTCAGCAACACGGCTTTTTAAAAGGCAAGTCCACGACCTCTAATCTCATTTTATGCAGTGAATACCTGTCTCAAAAAATGGCAGAGCGGTCACAAGTAGATATTGTCTACACTGATTACAGTACATGTTTCGATAGAATTGATCACTTACTATTACTTCACAAGCTCCAATCAATGGGTATACGGGGTAACTTATTTCGGTGGTTCACTTCATACATTCAAAATAGAAGTCAGACAGTAGCGCTTGGTGGTTATTTATCTCTATCAATGCCAATTCCATCTGGTGTGCCTCAGGGATCCTTATTGGCACCTCTACTTTTTAATATATTTATTAACGACATTTGTTCGTGCTTTAAATACTCAAAGATCATTATGTATGCTGATGATATGAAGATTCTGTGTCCTATAAATTCTGAACCAAGTGCCCAACTTCTGCAGGACGATCTTTTCAGATTTGAGGACTATTGTATGGCTAATAAGTTGGAGCTTAATGTCTCGAAGTGTTATGTGTGTTCGTTCACTCGTAAACCCAATCCGATCACGTTTAATTATAAACTCTTGGGTGT